ATTCAAATGGTGTAAAAGGACCATGCCAAAGGAGCTGCCATTGCCGACCTCTTTTTTCAAAATTGCTACTTGCTTGGCTGTCACGCTGATGTCCTGGTTTTAGTACTTTGAATCAATGACCCCCTTATCCAGATAATATGGTCTTCCGATTCATCTCTGACTTTTCTGATTCTCATATTTATTCCTGGTCATTCACTGAAGTCAGTGGTTTCAAGAAGAACTCCGTGCATACAAAATCTTAACCCTTGTAGTGGAGCTACCCCAGCACTGCAAGGGTTATCTGCTCGTTTTTTATCTAGGTTCAAAAACAAAAAAAAGTTATACTCACCCGAAGCTCGGAGCCGACTTGTTCTTAGACTCCGCCTCCTCTGCAGTGTTCTAAGGTCCTGTAAATTATCAACGTCTGTACACTGTATTCCAACGCTGCAGAGTAGGAGGCGATACGCTGTGAGGGAGCACTGTGACAGCTGGCCTCCTCGGAGCTCCGGGTGAGTATAACTTTGTTATTTTCTGGTCTTGGAGCAGGAGGGTGTATTTTGTGCAGAATTTGCTATTGCTGGTGTTGTATCTTGACACAACACCGGGAATTAGGCAGAGTAGATACCTGCACGGTACCCCCCTATGGAGGACGCCTGTAGGCACGTGCCTACTCTGCCTAATGGTAAATCTGACCCTGCCGTCAATGTTGTCGGGATCCACCCCACTACCTGATTGACAGCTGGCTCTGCCTCTCTAGACCCAGAGCCAGCTGTGCCCACCCCCTCCCCTGTCCGTTCCTCCACTCAGCGCTGGAGGTTAGTAGAGGGAAGGGGAATCCCTGCGGGGAGCCTTTCCACATCTATCCCTCCAATGAGCTCTGGAGTGGCAGAGAGGGAAATCCCCGTGGTGAGTGATGACTGACGGTCACTCCTCTCTGCAGGGAGAAGATCAGGAACAGAGTGATCAGTGGTATGTGATCAGTAAGTTCTTGATCTATAGAGCCGATGTGTGACAGCTTCAGTGTACCGTGCCAGCTCTAACTATGGAGATGAGTGTATTTCACTCTCCCCATAGTTCTCCTGGGCGATCATATGACAGTAGGTTTCCCTGTATGGGTGGTATCTTTACATACTCCAGCTGATCATGATACTCTTGAATATTTTGAAAATAATTATTTAATTCATAAAGCTCTTTTCTCCCCAAGAACTCAAAGCATTTCTTATCAGATTGACGTTGGAGCAGAAAGCAGGTGAAGCAGCCATGTTGGGCTCACTCAGCAGAATTTCGTACTAGGACCAATTTTATATAGGAGCCACTGAAACCTACCAGCATGTCTTTGGAGTGTTCAAGGAGACCGGAGAAAACCTACACAAGCACAGGGAGAACGAACGAGCAAACTCCATGCAGATAGCGTCTTGGCTGGAATTCAAAACGGGGACCCCCAGTGCTGGACAGGAAATCACAGATCAATAAAATATAGATGGATGTTCTAACTTCTCCCCATTCTACCAAATAATGTGATCTCTCAGTACTTCCTGCCACAACGACTCTCTGTCACTGGGACAGAAAGTGAGAAAACAATATCCCTAACCGGCACACAGACCGCAATAAAAGCCTGATAGAGGTTCTAACCCCTCCCCCGCTCTACTAAATAATAGGGTTTGGTTGTTGTCTCCGTCCTTTCCTGTCCTTGTTACTCTCCGGCTCACAGACGACTATAAAACCTGATAGAGGTTCTAACCCATTTTGGCGTATTTGAACACTAAACATACATTTCAATGATGGAGTGTGCTCCATCCCTGGCCACTGCAGGATTCCCTAAATCTCTTTGTTTTAGTCACAGTGCACTGTCCTGTCAACATCAAACGTCCGGCGCGGGGATATTCAGTTCTGGCTGCAGTATGCTGACCACAGTAAGTCTCTCGCTGTACCCCATTCTCCATTCACAAAACGCCTTGTATGCTTTTCAGTGAATGCAAGGTGTTCTGTGAATGGAAGAGGTGTGGATGAATGCCATGATCTTCCCTCCTCCAATCACAGAACACCTTGCATCCACTGAAAAGCATACAAGGCTTTTTCTGAATGGAGGATGGGGTGCAGTGAACAACTTACTATAATCAGCATACCACAATCGAAACTGAAATCCCAGCACTGGGTGTTCAATCATTTTCAGTGAATGTAAAGCTTTCTGTGATTGGAGGAGGTGCGGCTGACTGTCACAATCCCCCCTCCTACAACCAAAGAATACAAGAAAGAATACAAAGCTTTTTCTGAATGGAGGATAGGGTAGAGTGAGCGACTTACTGTGATCAGTGTACTGCAGCCGAACTTGATATCCCAGTGCTGGACGTTCAATGCTTTTCAGTGAATGCAAGGTGTTCTGTGATTGGAGGAGGGGGTAAAGTGACAGTCATCAGAACCTTGCATTCACTGAAAAGCTTTGAACGTCCAGCACTGGGATATCAAGTATGGTTGCAGTAAACTGATCACAGTAAGTCGCTCACTCTACCCCCTCCTCCATTCAGAAAAAGCCTTGTATTCTTTTCAGTGAAAGCAATGTGTTCTGTGATTGGAGGAGGGGTGATTGCGATAGTCATTGGCACCTCATCCAATCACAGAATGCCTTGTATGCACTAAAAAGCATTGAACATCCAGCGCTGTGATGTCAAATTCCGGCTGCAGTTTGCCAATTACAGTAAGTCTCTCGCTGTACCCTATTCTCCATTCAGAAAATGAATGCAAGGTGTTTTTTGATTGGAGGAGGTGAGATTATGGCATTCATCCACACCTCCTCCAATCACAGAAGAAGATGGCCACCTGCACACCAGGGTCCATTGTATCAATACACCTTTATTAGATACATGGCATCACCTGTGAATAGCAACGTTTCAGGACCTTATGCGGTCCCTTCATCAGGGAAACATAGTGAAACAATCCTAGAGTGCCTTGCATTCATTGAAAAGAATAAAAGGCTTTTTTTGAATGGAGGATGGGGTACAGGGAGCAAGTTACTGTAATCAGCATACCGCAGCCGGAACATGAAATCCCAGCGCCAGAAAGTTCAATGCTTTTCAGTGAATGCAAGGCGTTCGGTGATTGGAGGAGGTGCGTATGACTGTCACAATCCCCCGCCCCAACCACAGAATGCCTTGCATTCATTGAAAAGATTAAAAGGCTTTTTGTGAATGGTGGATAGCGTAGAGCGAGTGACTCACTGTACTGAGCACATGGCAGCCGGAATGTGGGATCCCAGCTCAGGACGCTCAGCGCTGTCAGGACAACGTGAGCTGAATTAAACTAAGAGATTTAAGAAACCCTGCAGCAGCCAGAGACGGGGCACACCATCCCTGGTAATGTACAGTATTTATACTGTGTTTTTGTCTGGAGTCCAGCTTTCAAAAAAAGAAAGAAAAAAGCAGATTCTGACCTTCATGGTCCGCATACTGGTTCTATTTCACGGGGAAAACATCAAATATTGAAGCTGGAGAATCAGCTTGATAACCAGGCAACTTGCATTTCCTGTGACTGTCTCCATTTCTTACTCATGAAGTAATGCAGAAAGCTATTTCTTACAGCATTTGACTAAGATCCTGGAACATACTTTGGGGTTGTTTGGGGTCATATACAAAGCACCTTTCTGACAATGATATTGTGTATTTGTTTCCACAGACACAAAACATTGGACTAGAAATCATTAAGAGCCGATGTGTGACAGCTTCAGTGTACCGTGCCAGCTCTAACTATGGAGATGAGTGTATTTCACTCTCCCCATAGTTCTCCTGGGCGATCATATGACAGTAGGTTTCCCTGTATGGGTGGTATCTTTACATACTCCAGCTGATCATGATACTCTTGAATATTTTGAAAATAATTATTTAATTCATAAAGCTCTTTTCTCCCCAAGAACTCAAAGC